ATGCTTTATTTTTTACCAATTGAATTAAACCAGTTGCAGGATTAACTGTTAGAGTTAATTAATCACCTCTATTAAAAAATGGAAATTTAGAAGCCAAAAATAATTTATGTGGTTTACTATTATCAAATTCAACTGATCCAGTTTCACACACTCCTATTTAAAATGTTTATGATATCTATTGTTAAATACTAAAAGTTATTGATTTTGGAGGTTTAAGAGGTCCTTCTTATAAACGAGGTCCTATTAAAGCTAATCTCGTTTTATTAGTTTTATTGCCTGTATTTGGAGGTACAAGTAATCTAGTTGGACTAATTAATTTAAATTAAGAATGCACTTATTTAAATGTAAATGGATTGAGAAATGTTTTAGACAATTAACTACTAAAAGTAGATAAAAATAATTATCTTTAACTTGGACTAACATTAATTGCTGGAGATGCCAAAATTGATTAAGTTCCAATTAAAGGTTCAGCATTAGATAATTTACGAGAAATTGAATTATTCTGCATTGTTTAATTAAACTCTTCCATTTATTATTATATTTATGAAGTTATATCTTAGAGTGTTTCATCTAAAATGAAAAGTCTTTTATCTAATTTTTAATTAAAAAATGCATGTTCTTTTTAATTACATGTTTATAGTAATTCATCATTTTACAGTAATAAAAGAAGAGAAGATTTGAGATTGTCAGATAATTAAATTTATCTATCCATTTGATTTACATCTTTTATTTTTGTTTCCACTTTAACATCACTTGTAAGATGTCTTATTAATCTCTCTATTTCATTCAATTTCTAGAAGTAAGTCTTTTATAAATTTTATGTTTTTTAATCTTTTTCATTAATTTGTGTTTCCAATTATTCTAACAGATTATTAAACACATCTATAAATTATTGTAATTTATCTTTTATTAATTGAGTCTTTTGTTATGGTTATTTCCATTCATACATTATGAAATTAGATAATAAATCTGAAGCTCTCTTCATTGACATCATTTATAGATGACTATCAATCTCTATACATTAAGTGCAAATAAATGAATCACGAAAGTTGCATTTCAATTTGATCATTTTTGCCTTCTCTAATGGATGACGATGGCATCGTTATTATTCAATAAATTATAATACATATTCATTCAACGATTCCATTTTATTTTTATTATTTATATTTCCAAAAAAATACTTTTTTTATAAATTCTTATTAAATAAATACACAAATTATTGATTATATTAATAATTTAATTCTTATATATTTAAAATATTTTAATAATAAAAAAGGGTATCAACTAAGATATATATATTTAGAAATCTTTAATTTTTTTTAAATAATCATACAGGTTTAGATTAATTATTGATTTTATGTTTCTCATAAAAATATAGTAATCTAATAATATCATATTTTTATTAATTCAATTAAGTAATTAATTAATTAACTAATATAATTTTAGTATTATTTATTTTTCTATTATTTAATACGAATCATAAATACTATTATTTTATTGTATAGTGATAACACTAATTCTCAAACAGAATATTGATATTAAAGTAATTAATGTGATTATATTATTTATAAATTGAATAAGATTATTTCTCTTTCTCTTTCTAAGTTCTTTCATTCAAGTTCTTAATTAATATTATAATTCTCAACTCTTTTGATATTTATTATTATTCTAAAATTAATAAATGATCGTTAATAACTATAAAGAAATTACATAATAAATATTAATCTTTAACATACTATTAAGATGAAATGACATAAAGTATATTAGTTATTTCACAAAAGATTCAAATAAAAGGGAAATAAGAAGTAAAAAATTTACAGAACAAAGATATTTTATTATAACTTTTATAAATGAGGTATTAATGTGGGGGACACTTTTTATAAAATAATAAAATAACTATTTAAATTGATTAAAAATAAACAATGTAATATTAGTTTCGTATTTTTATTATTTTAGTATTAGAGTTTTTGATTCTACATCCTTTTTGAGTCTTCTATACTAGCTCAATTAGATTTATTTAAAATAAAAGTTGATTTTACCTAATCATAAATTAAGGGGTATAATTTATTTATCAATCATTATCTAGGTCTATTTCAGATTTAGAATTAGAATAAGAAGGTTGTTCTTTTAATAGCAATTCATATTTTAATAGATATATATATACTCATGTTACATCCTTTTATTATAAAAAAAGGATAAGGGTTTAATCTTATCCCCTCTTTTCAAAAATATTGGTTTAGATGAAGAATTAATTGATTTAAATAATTCAAAAAAATATATTTAGTTAAAGAGTTTTATGATGTTTTAATCATTTGATAGAATTAATGACTTATTTATATTGATTTTTAGTAGGTTTAATAATTTTGCAAAAGGAAAAAGCATTTGTTATGATTTAGAGAAGAAAAAAATTTTGGAAGAGAATTTGTTTGGATAAACGTTATTTTGCAATTTAAATTGGAGATTATAATTAAGTGAAAATTATATTTTAAGTTATTTGAAAGATGATATCATTCCTGGAATCTAAATAAACATATAGTATTAACAAGTGTAACATCAAATGTGATAGAAGATACATAAGTATTGGTAATTATTTTCCAGATAATATTCTTCAATATGTTTAAATAAATGTATAATTATAATATTTATACTATTATTGAATTGGAATAATCGAACAAATTGATAAATTAAATCATTTTATGCATTATAATATTTATTCATCACAGCTGAATTTTATTGTACAAAGTAATATAGATTTGATATATTTTAAGAATGATTTTTATCTTTGAGTTCCATTAATGGACTTGAATATGTAGTGAATGATGAATAATGTGATGATGGAAATCCACATCCTTTTGATGGATGTTATAAATGTTAATATTACATTTATGGTAAGTATTTATTAAATATGGATGGACAAAATTAACATTGAATATCTTTTCAAACATAGAATAATTATTATAGATTGTCTATAAAAATGAAAATTTAAAGTGAGCATTAATAAGAATAATGTTTAATTGATCAAAATGAGATTATTTAACAATTTATGGAAAAGTTACATTTTTGAAATAATATCAAAAATTTTTATCAGCTAATTAAATGTAGTAATAATATACAATCATATTCTAAATAGTTTGAACAATATCTGTATAAATTGTTTAAGCTTAAAATATTAAAGTTGTAATAATATATTAAGGATTATGTTTTAAATGCTAATATTGATATATTGTTGTGATAGTTTTATCTTTATTGAACAAAAAAAATTTCAATTTTTTAAGCTTTTGATTAGAAATTTTTGAAATGTATGAATAATATTAAAGAATTATTATACCTATTGATAGTTATTAGTAAATAGTCTTTATAACCTATGTGATGATAAATATATAATGCGCAAAGATGTTAAAGTTTATGTACAATATGCTATAGAGATAATTTCTAAAAATATGACATCAAAATATAGTTTTATGAATAATGCGATGATGGTAATATAATGGTGGAGATGGTTATGATTCTAATTGTAATTCTAAACTTGTCTATGATTTTTATTCATTTGAATTATATATCTGAGTGGATCAAATTCAAAAGACTTAAGCATAATTCATGATTCAAAAGATGAATTTTTTTGTTAGAACTTACAAGTAAATATTAAAGTATTTGATATGTAAGAGTTCATCTATAATTTCACTAATAATAATAGAGGTTGTCAAATTAATTCAAATTTTTCGAAAATCGAGTCTATCATCACTAATTAATAACTTCTACTTTTTCAATGTTAATTTTCTTATTTAAAGTTTAACCATTATTTTTGGAATTCTATTCTATTCATGAACTATTATTCAAATTTCTTGATTCGGCTATGCAGACATAAGTACCAAATGCATGGTCATTTTACTTTTTTGTTTAAATAAAAGGATATTAAACTATTTAATTAAAATCAATCCAAATATTTGATTAAACATAATTAATACATTACATTTTTAATTATATTATGAAAATATTAATACTTATGAATTCTAAAGTAATTTTCTTGGATTTATTCGTAAAATAGCTCTATTCTAATCCATTTCAAAGAGAAGGGCAATTTTGTATTTCTACTTTCTAATGATGTTTTATTAAATAAGTTAGAAGAATGAATTAGACTGGATAATTAATTCCAAAGATGTATCATATGTTCTATGTATAAAAATATTTGGAATTTGCTGATTACTATATAAAATCATTATTTAAATGATTAAAATAGGTATTATACAAATAAGGAAATTGAAATTAACAGTTACATCAAATAATCAAAACAACCAGAAATAACAATTATAAACAAACTATCCTTTATTAAACATAGTCAATTTCTCATATGATTTTCCGTTAATATTATAATTTAGTCTTTAATAAAACACATTTGAAATTTAATTTAAATTAAAGAAGAATTGAATAATAAAAAGATAAATATTTATAATTTCAGCTTAATCTATATAATAGTATTTTTTAATTACATAACAAAATAGGAATGAATATATATTTTAATGTAATTTTAGCAATATCTATATGCAATAAAAAAAATATGTTATTTAATAATTAAATTTAGACCTAGCTTATATGTATGGCTTTTTATAATGATCTTTACATTTGAAACACTAGAATTTATTCAAATATTTGCTATAATTAATCCTAATCCAAAACATCATCCATATAAAAAAAATTTCTTTTATATTGTAAATATACTTAATAATGTTAAAAATCTGTCTTAGATAAATTTAGTTTCAGTTAACATACTGAAATTTCAGAATAATACCTAATTTAAGAATAAAATAATATTAACTGATTAAAAGAGGTCTTAGACCAATTTTAATGAAAGAGGAATAATTTGAAGATGGTTAATACTTATATTGCATTGATGAAATAGTTGATCAGAAAATAAATAAATAAAATCTTGAAAATATGGAGAGGTGAAAAGCAAAAGGAATATTCAAATAAATTACTATTATTATTATTATATTTATTATTTATCAATATGGATAAGGATGTTTCTCATTAAATTTAACAACTCCTTCAATCTCTTTCATTACTCTAAGCACCATTTCCTCCTAATGAGGATATGAAATGACTTGAACATTAACAGGTAATCCTTCAGCATTTTACATATTTCGATTCATCAAAATATAAACTATATCAATAGTTCTTTCTTTTCCTTCAATTTTTAAATCGTTTCCACCTTAAACTCTTGTTATTGGCATGCTTCCAGCTGGAAGATCAGCTGTATTCCACATCCATGTATATAATCTATTAATATAAATACTAAAGACATACGCTGCTAAAGGTAATTCCTTGGATGCTCCATGCTTAACTGCTGGACAACCAAATCCAGGTACAATTACAGCATCAATTTGGTTTTATTTCAAATATTATAAAAATTAAAGATTCATTCTCTTTTGTTTTCCTGAATTTACTAAATATTAATAAACATCTAAGCCATGAGTTTATTTACTCATTACATATAAAGTTTTTTATCCTAATATCTTTAATAAAGGTGCTAAAATGTAAGTTTATAAAAATAATGGTATTTTTGTTCCTGCCTCCATTAATTCATATTCTTCAATGATTTTTTCACCTTTTAAATTTTCTCCAAAAGACTTAAATCCTCCCTCTGCTGCAACTAACCTTGGAAATGCAACAGCTAATTCATGTTCTAGTTCTTAGTCTAAATTTATTTAAACAATTTCATGTCCTTTGCTAATCAAAGCTTAACAAGCTTCTTAAACAGCTCTTTTCATACAATTAGGTGGTAATAGATCATTAAATTACTCAATATATCCAATTTTCAGTTTATCCTTTTTAGAAATTTAAGTTAAATTAAGATCTTGAGGTTTCCAATAAGGATCTTAAATTGGCAATGGTAATTCTGAATAATTCTTAGAATTAAATAAGACTCCTAACATAACTATTAGATCATCTACACTACGACCTAAAGGACCCTTTGATGGTCTTATATTAACCATTCCATTAGCTGCTTTTTCAATAACACCTTCTCCAATTTCTGTTTATCTACTCATACCTGGCTTAAAACCATAAACTCCACAAAATGCAGCTGGTATTCTTATACTTCCACCAATATCAGAACCTATACCAATAACGCTACATCTAGCAGCTTATAAGGCAGCTTCTCCTCCTGAAGATCCTCCTACTGCTCTATCCTTATTCCAAGGATTAAGAGACCTACCAAATATTCTATTAGTAGATTCAAAAGTCATTGCCAATTGAGGTAAATTACTTCTTACAAAAATTATACCTCTAGCTTTTTTGATCATAGACACTTAGATTCCATCATAAGTAGCTGGCTTATATAATCTTGAAACTAATCCATATGTATTATCAAATCCTTTATGAATGTAAGTGTCTTTAACTGATACAGGTATTCCGAAAAGATCATATTAATAGATAATTTGAGGATCTGAATAGATTTCTTAATCTTGTTTCCTAGTTAAATACTCTATAAATATACTCAGCCTCTTAAATTGCTTCAATGAAGTTGATATCTGTTATTAAATTCAAGTTTTCTGAAGTTGCTACAGACAATGTTCTATTAATAAATACTAACAAAACTTGTTTAACTGTGACCTTTTTTTCAAACAGAATTTTTTTAATATCAGCAATAGTGTAATTTAGGATCTCTTTTTCTAATTGTGCACTTAAACCTGTAGATAAATCATAGGATTATTTAAATTCTTAAATAGACCTTTTGAGTTCATCTCTTCTTTTTTAACATAATTTATCATATTTTCTCTAAATTCTATATTAGGTAACAAAGTTTGTTAGACCATAGAGTGCTAATATTCCAAAAGCACTAAAAAGATATTTATTTTGTTTGTTTGAGAACAAATTTTCAAATGTGAATTTCATTAATATATATTTTTAATTTTCATAAGATATAATAAATGAACATTCTTTTATAAAAAAGTTCAGGTTTGCACTAAATTTGAAATACTTTAGAGCAGTTATAATTAATATTTAGAAATGATAGTTATTTCATACTGATTTCTGTGTAATTTAAATCGATAAAAGCAGATCGATTTTTTTAATAAATAAAATAATGGATTAGATTGAATATGTTAATCTTGAAAAAAAGACATAGAAAAATAAAAATAATTAAAGAGGAAGATAAAATAATAGACAAAACAAAAATGATAGAAATAGAAGAAAATAAAGAGATAATCAACCATTTAAGAATTAAAGAAAATAATGGAGAAATAATAAGGATTAATAAAGATAAAAAGTATATTATTTATTTTAATCTTTAAGCGTCCATTTTAATCTGAGAAGAAAATAGTGGCAACAGGTTAAAAGAGAAGACAATTATAATAAAGAAAATTTACTTAAAGACCTAAAGCCCCTAGAAATAGTTAACCAAATGTCATTATAAAAGGATTGGATCCAAAAATGACAGAAGCAGGTTTATAAGTATAAAAATCAATTATTTTTTTAGGAAGCTTGTAAAGATTTTGGCCCAATGAATATGTGCAAATTAGATAGAGATAACTTTGGATAAGTTAAGGTATTATACATTATTAATTATTAAACAGCCAGAAGGAATAGGTTTAGTTAGGTTTACTAGAGTAGAAGATGCTAAGGCATGTGTTGAAAAGTTAGATGGTGTTACTGTGTAAATCATTGGAGAAAATAACAATGTAAATAATTTAAATATATAATAGGAAAAAGTAATATCGGCAACGTTTGTTGATGATTAAGAATAAGAAGGGAATAATAGAAATAGAGGTGTATTGAATATTACTAAGAGACCAATAACAAAAAGGTATTGATTCAATAAAATTAAAATAGAAATTGGAGAAGATGAATTTGAATAAACACAAATATGTTATTTTAAACAATTCAAAAATCAATCATTTAGATTTATTAAAAATAAGTCATAATTATGGATAAATCCTGAAAAAAAATGTATAATTTAAGGAAATATATATATACTCCCAAAATTATCTGGAAGTTAAGACTTATTTCTATATATTCAAGGCCTATTCATAAATCTAATCTCTCACATTGTCCTGGTTTCAAATACTTTTTCTTAAAAATCAATTATTAAATGGCCTGATTATTGAATGATTATTAGATTTTTTTTAAATATTTATTTCAATTCATTTTTTAAATCTAATCAATCTCTAACAATGTAAAAACTACTTAAACTTATTAATCATGCTCAAAAATATTGATGTATTATTACCTATCATTAATATTTTTAATAATATTGTTATCCTAGAAATCATAATTAGTTATTTATTTAAATAATTTTGCTTATTTAGATATTCTCAAGATCTCTTAACTTCTTTTGATTCTCTAATTTACATTTGAATTTTCAATATTAAATTGGTAATTAATCTCAAAAAGTTTAGAATACTTCCATGATTATAAAATAATTATATAAATTTGAGAATAATAATGCATTTAATGAGGACTAGATGTAATAAACATAAATAAAATTATATACAATTTATTTGTTTATAAGAGGATTGTGAATTCAATAAATTAGGATGTATTAGTTGTTTTCCAGATCATGATGGTCATACTAAATAAAATATGGAAATTTAGCATTTTTTTGAATAAATTACATAAAAAGATAGAGATCTTGAATTAAAGTATCTATAACTAATTAATTCAAACTCAGCAAAGAAGAATAAAGAATAATTAATTAGATCTATTTAATAATAATGCAAAGCTATATAAAGTAGAGTATTTAGTTATATTGATCGACATTGTGAAGCATTAATAAATAGTGTTTAAAATAAGAATCTTAATGATTCAAGTTCATAATTAAAAGTTATAGCTTATCATGATGAACTTGAAAGAATAAAAAATAAATCAACTTATACGTTAGAGAATAAAGTATTTTAATTTATTTTATAAATTAGGAGATTGAATTCTTGATTAACTTTGTTTAAACAAATGATTATTAAGAAATGATTACAAATGCTATTCAAATAAAAGAAAAAAATACTTAAGAATTTACATATGATATAAATTAAGTAGTAGATTCAATAGATCACTAATTTTCTGAACTATATAATCAATTAGATTCATTACTTTTATCCCAATAATTTGCCTCCTCTCATTCATTTGAATAAAAAAACAAAAGTGTTCAACATAATTATTCATTAACTCTCGGAATCTTACCTAAAAGTCCAAATAGAAATTTAACAAAAGGAAAATCAAAATCTCCTTTAAGATAAACATCTACAAATCAATCAAGAATGAAAACTCCTGAATCAAATAAAAAATTAACTTATTAAATAGGATCAAGTAATAAAATATAGATTTCAAAGTTTCTTATGACTTCTCCATTAAAAGAGGAAGATGATTTTATTACTAAAAATAAAAATCTAGAATAATTAATTACAAATTTATTAATGATATATATGCCATTCAAATATTTAAATGATCACTTATAGTTTTTAAAAAATAATTATGCTGAGTTTTAAGATTATAATAAAATTACTCATTAAGAAAAAGTCTAATTAATTGAAGAATCAAACTCATAATTATTATATGTATTATGGGATAATTTAATGATTGAATGGTTAAAACCTACTTTAAATTTTAATATTATAAATATTAAAGTTTATGAAATTGAAAATAACTTTAATTCATTTCTAGAATTATTTGATAAACAATTAAAAATGCATGAATTTGTTGCTTATGTTATTAAATAGAAAATTATAAAACCAAAAGTTGATTATTAAACATGGTTTATTTTAGCAAATAAATCTACAAATTAATTTAAAATGTATAATATAAAGTCTTGTGGTAAAAAACTTAATAGAGAATTAACAATTGAAGATTAGTCATTCTCTTGTATTGATCAATTGAAAGCAGCTAATGTATATGCATAATTTCCAAAAGTAATCTAAGACCATCTTAATGGTAGCTTTTCAATTGAAAAAGATCTTAAAATTATAATCAAAGGAATCATGGATCCTAACTTCTAAACTCAATTATTAGCAGAAAGATTATAAGTAAATATTTTTGTAATATTAGATTTTATTAAATTTGGTTACTAATCCTTAAGTTGCTGCCAATCTAACATTTTAGAATATTGAGAAACACTTTGATCAAGTCTTAATCAATTTCAAGTATTTTATTAACTACTTAAATTTATCAATAAAAGATACATTATAAAACTGATATATATATATATATATACAAACTTTCATATTAACTATAATAATAGCTATTAAATGATATACGTTCTACATTTCTATTTTAAATTATATATTATTTTAATAATTTATAATTAAAAGACTCTTAAAAGTATATTTATAAATATTTAATGGATTAATAAAATAAGAATATTAATTTATTCTTTTTTTTAATTCATTTTATTTTATTAAAATAACTAATTTAGATAATTATCTTAGATCAATATAAAATTAAAAATATAATTATTTTATCTATTTTAAACAATATAAAAATTATAATTACATCTATCAATAATAAAAATAGTTTAAATTTTGGAAAAAGTTTTAAATTCTAAAAACATCAAGATTTTTATTTGAGATTTATATAAAGTCATTTCATAAATTTATAAGATTAATCATTTACAAATTATATTTTCCCTTCAGAAGCAATATTCAAATCTTATTTTTTATCTTGGAAATTACTTTGTTAACTTTAAAAACTTATTGTTCTTGGTATAAATTAATGAGTTGTTATTAATTCATTATAACTCCAATCATATATGTAATCTTCAATAATGTTATAACTTTATAACATTTTCCTTAACTAATTAATTAATATATTATGATCAGGTATATCATTATTCTGATTCTATAAAACAAATTAAAATATAGGATAGATTGGAAACTGATTAATTGATTTAGCATCTAAAAATTCTTGTTTCATCTACATTATCCTAGATTCTCTACCACCTATATATTTTTACCATGGCAATTACCCTTTCTTTAACTATTACAGATTTACCTTTAAATAATTCAACCAAACAATAACCAGTCATTTCTATATCATCTATAAATCTATACTCTTAACGTCTGTGCACTATGCGAGGATCATATAAAATTGTGCCATCAACATATTTATCAGATTAAGGGTCATTTTGAAAGAGTGAAATCCCAAAGTCGATTAGATATATATTTGAATCTAAATTATAAATTGTGAATACCAGAATATTTAGTCATCAAATTTTATGGTTTTATATCTCTGTGACGTATACCACTTTTATGAATTTCACTAAGTGCTTAAATTACTTTAATAGCAACAAATATGATTGTTTTTATTGAAAAATATTTCAATCTAGTTAAAATGGTTAACATATCTTCATTTAAGAACTCCATTATAATGTAATAAGTATTATTTAATTAACCGAAATAATAGACTTAAGGAACTCCTTGACAATTCTGTAATTAATTCATTATTTTAAATTCCTTTTCCATATTTTCTTTTGAATACTTAATAGCCACCAACTTATTTGTTTTCATTTAGATGGCTTTATAAACACATCCAAATCCTCCAATAGACAATTCATTTAATAATTTATAGCCATCAACAGGATATATTACAGGTTAGTTTAAGGCATATGCTTTTTTTTTCTCTCTAGTTTCTAAAAATGTTGAAGATTATTATTAAATTAATTTCATTTCATAAATAATATTTAATTTATAAGCTCGTTCTTAAAGAGGGTACTTAAATCTTTAATTAATTAAGAAATATTGTTTTATTACTAAACAATGTTAAATCAGAATTTATTTATTTTTCATATCAAATTAATATTAGAAAACTAATTTTGTGTGATTTAAAATATTATTATTCACTAAAAAAAATTGATTGTATAAATTTTCTAGAATATATGTATTATCTTTAATCTTATCTATTCAAAACTAATAAAATTTGAATATTTATTATAATAATAATATATTTTATATAACAACAAAAAAATATTCTTAGTTCTTTTTAGATTATGATATCTATATATTAATACTTTTTTTAATTTAAAGGATGTAAAATTTATAAAGGAGATATATTTAAATAATGTTCATTCTATTTTTACTATGAAAATTGAATATTAATTACATAAATAAAATAATCATGTATGAACTTCTTTAGAATGTGGATAACTATATTTAATTAGGTTTTGCTAGCCTTTCAATCCTATTCTTTTATATAGTTTATTAGACAGATGTAATTGGGAATTATAATTCTTAGACATTCATGATACAAAATGAAGAGAATTGGGATTACTTGAGATAATAATATGCTCAACTATATGATCCTTAAGAATTAGATAAATTTCATTTTCCAAATGAGATGGCTAGTTTTTGTTATAAAATTTAAGAAAAAATAACATCAATATAATGGGAATATATTTATTTCATTTGCTTATCAGGATTAGTTTTAATGTTATATTCAGTATTAATTGTTGATATAATTAGTTTTTTTTTCTTGAGAGTGGATTCTTATATTTTGGAATGAACATCATATTTGGAGGTCTAACAATGTTTTACCTATGTTATTTTATAAATAACGTATATTTGGGAACTGTTGTAAAAGTTCCATTACGAGTAATTTGTATATCAATCAGACTGATCCTCTGCGCTGGGCCTATGGTAATGGATTCTTCTTGAGTTTATTTTGTCTGGGAATGCTAATAATTTCAATACTTTTAGTAAATCAAATAAATATGTTCGTTTTCCACAAACCTATAGGTATAGCCTATGTATTAGGAGGTACAATATATATTGAATAGTTAAGGCTCATTATCCTTATATTTTAGAAGAGAATAACAATCAATTCTAGGAAGAAGTATATCGATAGGAACTGATCTTCATGTAAAAGATAATCTAGGATCAGAAGGTGTAATGGATGTAATAGGATATTCTGAAAAGTTAGCATCAATAATGGGTCATATTTTAAGTGATAACCATTTATTAGATCTAATAATTGTATTGTTATTATATTTCACTTTGCCGAGAGTATAAATTAATTATTAATAGATTTTTTAAATTGGAGCTATGAATACTAATGTTTACTCAATAGTAATGTTAATAAATTATTTTGCATAATTTATTATTTCATTTTTTATTTCTTCATTTTAATCAGAAGATATAGCTAAGAATGTCTTATAAAATGTTAGAACTTAAATTATAGCTGCTAGTCTTTTTAGTATAATTTCACTAATACTATTATATATCTATAATTCTACTTATATGAGTATAGCTAGTTTTGGTCTTATAACTAGTATGTTACTCATAATATATTTGGAATATGTTACAAATCATTCATTTCCATAAGTTAGAAACATTGCTTCAGCAGCTTTAAATGCCCCAATGCTTAATATTATGAATGGCATTTTTTTGGGAGATATGGGTTAGTTATTTTTTGTAGGATTGACAGGATTATTTATTTTCATTTCTAAAGAGATTGGTGGAAATGAAGGTCTTTATGCTTTTTTAACAGGATTAATTATGAATGCTATAGTTATGACATCTATATAATTTAGTGGAAATTCTATAATGATAGGTTTAAAATTTGCATAGATTGCTTAAGTAGATTCATTGCCTTTAGAAAAAGTAATTATAAAATTATATATAAAATTAGATAAATTTAGCAGCTTGTAATTATGGTTTATATTTAAAAACAATAACAATTATTTGTTTATTTTTGATAACAATAATATTTTTTCCTTTGTAAGAAATCTAATGTTTTGCTGTTTTTATAGGAATCATTTTAGCCTACTTTTTCAAAGGGATTTTTTTAAAGTTTGTTGGAACTTAGATTATTAGACAATTAAGAGGATTTTATGAAGGAACATTTCTGGATAATTAAGTTTACAATTTATGGGAATTAACAGGTTTAATTGGTCTAGTAATTTAATTAAATATTCTATTAGCAATTTATTATTTTGAATTTTTTTAAATACTTCACTTCTAAGTTTGGAATGTATTCATATGTTTACAGTTACACATAGATTGTGTTGATTTTAAGTGCTAGAGCTATAATAACAGGGAGCAGTCTAAAGAATGTTAGAGTACTTGAAGGAACTTTAAAGGAGAATAAGATAATTTATTTATCTCATATGTATGCAGATATTCAAGGCATAGCTATGGAAGAATCTCCAGCATTACCTTAAATAGGTTTTTTAGGTATATCGATAGTGTTAGGATTAACAATTTGAATAATTCCAGTTTAAAATTTAATCGAACTTTTATTAAATGGATATTTAATATTTATTATATTAATTCTTCTTTCTCCTAAGTTTTCACTTACATCATCAGAAACGAATGTCATCTCAACTTACAAAAAAGCCATCTTTAAAACTATAATTAAACAAGAAGACATTGGATAATTTGGCAAAAGAGAAAACAATTATTCCTCCTAGTTCCAAATGCTCTTAAAAGACTGTCTCCTCTATTAATGTAAATATATAACTATAATTATTTATATAGACTACTAGCTGTACATCTTCATCTTCTAAATAAAACTATCCATGTAAAGAATCAAAGTCAAATCCCTCCAAAAATTCAGATTAACATTCATAATTAATTCAATATTTGCTCTAAGAAAATATAGAATTATAAAAATAGAATTAAGACAAGGATTAATTGATCAATTTCTTAAGTACAAAACAATCTCCTAAGAGAAGATCAATTTTAAATACAGAAAGAAGCACTGAAATCAAATCTTAAAAACTTCCATAAATTTCATAAGCTAAAAATTTACTAGAGATTGATAAGTAATTATTTCTTTAAATTCAATAATAGTTTAAATGAAGGAATTTGTGCACCATTTTGTTTTACATTTTGTCAATAAGATACTTAAAGTTAATAAAGTGTAAGAAGTAAAAAATTACCAAAAGAATTTTAAATTGTACCAAACAAAAAAAGATATTTTGTATGATTATAGAAAGTTCATTAATGATGATATTATATTTCAATTTATTTGTGTTTATATTCATAACAATCTATAAAATAATAATCCTTTTCACTTCATATTACAACTTTTAATTACCTTTTATCCCATCGTTTTAACTCTTAATTCAAAATTAATAGAAATAAATGTTAATACACATCAAATGAATAAAAGTTTATAACCAAATATCTTAAAATTATAATCTGTCTTTTCAAAAACTATCTCTAAGAATATTTTATCAATTATCTAACCTAATTCGATGATATATTTTGAAGAACCAATAAAAAAAGTTTAAATTCCCATTATTAAACTAATATAATTTAATAAGTGTAACAATTAGTTGATAACATCAATTGAAAATATTTGATTATACTAAAGTTTTTAATAAATAAGAGAAGTATTGAACATGTAATAAACTTAAAAAAATATAATTAAGTTGTTAATTCAAATATTATATAATTACTTATAAATGAGAATTTAATATTATAATATTTTCTTGAATATTCTTTGTTCATTATATCTAATATTATTTCTTATAAATAATCATAAGATATTTATTAATATAATGAATAAGATAAAACAAGAAAATAAATAAGAAAAATTTTTGGCTATAATAAAAAACAATTGTATTATTATTTATTTAATAAAATAATAAGTTTAATTTTTTTTTAATTATTTTCAAGTTATTCTTATATACATTTCTCTATGACGGATACAAGTTCAAATTATAGCTTCTGGTGAGTTGATACCAGTGCTTCTTTGATCCCCAAAAGATATTAATAAACTGTTTTAAAGAGCCCCAGTAACGTTCTCTATCTATCTACCCTTCATTTCGTTTCATTAAAGTTCAACAACCAAATTCTCAATTTAATCTAATCTTATGACTTCATTAAATTTGGATTTAGCATAGTCTTGATATATATATTATATAAAAAAATCAAGCACTATTAGCTTCATATAGAAAAAAGATAATTTAAAATAATTCATCAAAAATTCTTAATTTTCGAGATCAAATAACAAATAAATCAATTAAATTCTAAATATTGTTAAGTTATAATTAATCTAAATACAAAAATTTAGAAAATATAAGAATTTTCAATCTAGAGTAAGTAAGTCATTAAAGGACTTAAGGATGGCCTTTTAATCATATCATATATTCTGTTAGAAGCAATGGTCCTTAGAAATATTTTATCCATTAAAGTGTTTAGAAATTTCAACTTTTAAATTACTTATCATTTTTTAAATTTACAAATCAATTAATTTAAGTAAAAATATAAAAGAAGGAAAGATAATATTTTCATATGTTGTTTATAAATAACAATTCATATATTTTATTCTTTCCCTAATTATTTAAAAATTTGTCTTATATTTGCAATAAATTTGAATTATATTTGAAAAATTCAATTGAATAAAGATAAATATGAAATTTTAACTAAGATTGATCAATTTATTTAAATTATAAGTCAATTTAAGAGGATATAAACGTTTGGATTTGTTATTTATTCTTGTAATTTTGTATTAATTAATAAAATGAGCGAAGAAATTTAATAATTTAGAGCAACTTTACCTATAAATGAATTCAAATAAGAAATTTTGAAATAGACTTTGGAAAATACTTTTATTATCATAACTGGTGATACAGGTTCAGGTAAATCAACATAATTACCACAATATTTATTGGATGATGAGAATTTTAGATTAAGCATTTGTTAAAAAAGAAAATAGTTTTTGGAAGAATAAGTAGAAGAAAAAGATTAACCTAAAGTTTAAGGATTCTTATCCAAGAAGTTGAAGCCATTTGTTCAAGAGGATAGAAAAAATTCAACAGATTTAAAGATTGTAGTAACATAACCTAGGAGAATGGCTGCTATATCAATGGCAAAAAGAGTAGCATTTGAGAGAAATGTATAAATATTATTATATATCAATAAATAGTAAAATATAGGTATAGAAGTTGGTTATTCTATAAGATTTGATAATTCAACTACTAATACTACTTAATTAAGATATGTAACTGATGGTATATTGGTGAGAGAATGTTTATAAGATAAAGATTTAACAGGATATGATGTTGTAATTCTAGATGAGGCTCATGAAAGATCCCTTTATACAGATGTTCTATTTGCATTAGTGAAGGCAGCTGCAAAGAGAAGGAAAGGAAGTTTAAAAGTTATCATAACATCTGCAACTTTAAATATTAATATTTTTAAGACTTATTTTGAAGGATGTCCATATGTAAAAGTTCATGGTAAGTCATTTCCTGTTGAAATTAAATATGCTGAACATAATATAACTTAATAAAAAAGAAATCATGATGCTGTGAATGCTGCAATTAGAATGCATTTACATGAAGGTCCAGGTGATATTTTAGTATTTTTACCAGGAAGTGAGGATTGTGAAGTTTGTAGAAAATTTTGTTATGAGAAATTAGCAGAAGTATTAAATTCAGGAGTTGAAGTTCCTAGTGTATTATTATATACATTATATGGAAGTTAAACTTCTGAAGATTAAAGTCAAGTATTTTAAAGAGCAGATGAACATACTAGAAAAATAATATTTTGTACTAATATTGCAGAAACTTCTTTGACTATTGATAATATTGGGTTTGTAGTAGATACTGGTTATGTGAAATAAAAAGTATATAATTCTAGGACTGGAATGGACTCACTTATCATTTAACCTATATCTAAAACATAAGCAATTTAAAGGACAGGTAGAGCAGGTAGAACATAATCTGGAAAATGTTATAGATTATTTTCTAAATAGTTTTATGAATCCTTATAAGAACATACAACTGCTGAAATAATGAGAGTCAATTTAGCATCAGTTATGTTATTACTTAAATCTATGGGAATAGATGATGTAGTGAAATTTCAATTTATGGAATAACCAACTTAAGAAGCTATTTTATAATCTTTAAGATAATTATATCTAATATAAGCAATTGATGAGGATGGATACATTACTCCTTTGGGTTATGAAATGTCTAGATATCCTTTAGAACCTAGTTATGCAAAAGCATTGATTACTTCAAAAATGATGGAATGTTCAAGTGAAATGAGTGCTATTGTTGCTATTTTATCAACAGAAAGCATTTGGTAAAGAATTACTAGAGTAGATGTAGATGGATATTAAAAGTTATAAGAAATTTAATAATAACATGCTGATCCTGCGGGAGATCACTTAAGTTTATTGAAAATATTTTCAGAATGGAGATAAGCAACATTTAATGAATAATTTGCTAAAGATAATTTATTAAATTTAAGATCTTTAAGATAAGCAGATAATATTAGATAATAGTTATAATAATTAGTTGAAGGTACAAGTAAAAAGAAATGTTCACAATTTTATGATTAAGATTATCTTTATAAATTATTTAGAAAATAGAAGGATTTAAAAAAATGGAATATAAATGAAAGTATTAAATTAGCATTATGTTCTGGATTCTATTTTAATACAGCTCGTAAGATGCATAATGGTGAAGATACTTATTTAATGATATATCCTGAAGGAACAGTTGTAGATACAGATTCATAGAGTGTATATACAGTAATTCAATAATATCCTGAGACTGTCATATTTACTGAATTGGGAGGTACATCTTAAGTAAGAGGAGTTATGAAATTAATTAGTGAAATTAATATAGAATGGGTTAAACCCTATTTCTCAAATATGATGAAGGTATCAAAAATGGTTATTGAATTTAGGTGGATCTATTCAAACTGGCTAGAATTTAATTTCAATAAAGAGGAAGAGATGCTGTTTAAGAAAGAAGATAAAAGAAAATCTAAGAATAAGAGAAATAGAAAGATTTGGAATAAAAGTAAAAATAAGAAAAACATTAATTATATAAGGCAAGATTTGAATAAAGAAAAAAAGTTAAAATGTGAATAGAATAATATTATTCTTATAATAAATCATTCTTTATAGATTGATAATCTTTTTTAAATTGATCTTTTATTTTCATGATTATCATCTAATACTGAACCAATTCTGACACTACTTTTACGACGTAATTTACTAGCAATTGTTTCATCTAATTTCTCTTCTTCAATCTCTTCTTCAGCAAAGATATTTATGCCATTAAACCATTTTGAAGGAAGAGTTCTAACAAATATTGCTACTATCATGCCACCCAAAGCAAATATCCAACAAAATATATGTTACCATGCAGTCAAATCACAAACAACAGCAAATTTATCTCCAAAAAGAATCAATAAATATTAAACTCCTACTTCAATTAAATTTATTAACCAAAATAATGAATTATTAAATAATCCACTAAAAGGATTTAGAGATACTTCATCTAATTTTCTGCAACTGATGGAATTGCAAATTTACATCAATACAAATGTTTAAAAAAACATTGTTAATCTTTATATTGGTCTACCTTCATATTCCTCATCTAAAGATTCATCAAAATCAAAAACTGAGTTTGGAATAAATAAGATAAAACATAAAATAAGAATTTAATAGATACTAGCTCCAATAACTGTTCTATACATAATTGAATTTACTATGCTTTCTCTTTTACCATAAGGTTTTCTATTTAAAAGTCTATCACTAGGAGGTTCAGTAGCTAAAGCTAAAGATGCAAAAGTATCCATAATTAAATTTACCCAAAGCATTTAAATACTTGTTAAAGGTGCTTCCTTAGTAACAGCTGCTCCTAATACACTCATAAATAATGCTACAACATTAACAGTTAATTAAAATTAGATAAATTTACGAATACAATTATATATATTTCTTCCCCATTTACATGCTGTAATTATAGAACGAAAGTTATCATCCAATAAAATAATATCTGCAGCATCTTTACATACATCAGTACCTGTTATACCCATAGCAAATCCAACATCAGCTTTTCTTAATGCAGGTGCATCATTAGTTCCATCTCCAGTCACTGCAATTACATTATCTAATTATTTTAATCCTGTTGCTAATATAAATTTATCTTCAGGTGTTGCTCTTGCTAATACTTTTAAATGTACTGCAATTTCTTAAAATTTTAATAGATTCTTAACTTCTTATACTTCAACTCCATCCTTAATCACTTTATTTAAACCTCCTGTTAATTATCTAAATTAAGATCCTTCCATTGCTTCATATTCATGTAATTCATTATCTGATCCTAAAATCTTGCAATCTCTTGCAATAGCTTTAGCTGTATTAATGTTATCACCTGTTACCATTCTAACTATTATTCCTGATCTATAACATTATTAAATAGCACTTGGAACATCTGGTCTAACAGGATCTTTAATACCAGCTATATTTAATAAAGTTAAATCATTCAAAAGATATTCTTCTGGTATAGAATCGAAATCATATTCAAGATGATAATTTAATAGTTTATATGCATTTCCTAATGTTCTAAGTGCTTAACTAGCATAATCTTCAATTATTTATAACATGTTATTTATATCCTAAGATGTCAATTTAACTTCTTCTCCATTTGAGTTGATAAATTTAGAACATTTTTTTAAAACCATTTCAGGAGCACCTTTACTAAATAAATATATCTTATCATTATGATGAACAATAGAGGTCATCATTTTTCTTTTTGAATTTAATGGAATTACTCTCAAAATATTATCAGATGGTCTATAACTTGATAATTAATAACCTAACATATCACAAAATTCTATTAAAGCACATTCAGTTTTATTTCCTATTTATTCAAACTTTCCATTAATTCCTTTTTTTGGATATGCACTTGAATTATAGAGATTGCTAGCAGCCAAAAGATCCAAATAATCCTTTTATAAATTTTTGATTTATGGTAGTTGATAATCTTTATAATTAACACATTAACAAAAAAATGTATTAACTTGCATCGTATTTAATGTTAAAGTACCAGTTTTATCACTACAAATATTATTTACTCCTCCCATTATTTCGCAAGATGCTAAAGTTTTAACTAAATTTTATTCATCTTTCATTTTATTCACAGAGAAGGCTAATGTTATAGTAACAGCCAAAGGTAATCCTTCTGGAACAGCAACAACAATAATAGTAACACCAATCATGAAAAATTTAAGTATTTTCTATAAACAATCAATATGCCAAAATTATTCCCAAAAAGTTAGATTATCATTTGTTCCATACTCAATGAATAGTCGAACTAATAGAATAATGAAAGTTAATATTGCTACAACAACACCAACTTTACCTATTGTTTCTGCAACTGCTTCTAATTTCACCTATAATGGAGTAGGTGTATTATCACTTTCACCTAATCTCTTCATTTCATTCTGTACTGTTTTATCACCCACTAAAAAATATTTTTCATTATATTACCTTGCAAAACCAACATTATTCCTGTTCCTTCATTAACCTTTGTTCCTGACATTAAAAATGGAGATTTGCCTTTCTAATCCTTCAAACATACTTCAACTGATGCCTTTTACATTTCATCAGACTCTCCTGTCATTGCTGATTCATCTATCTTTACTTCACTCCCATGCAAATATAATCCTAAAATCAAATATAATACTTACCATCTACATTGAAAATATCTCCTAATTAAAATAATAAAACGTCACCAACGACAATATCCTTATTATTTATTGTTATTATGTTTCCTCCTCTCTTTACTTATACATGTCCCTCATCAAGTTTTGATTATAATTTTGCAAACTATCTCTCTTTGGCATAATTATTACCTGCTGTAATTCCAATAATCAAGAAAATTGCCAAAAATATTGTTAAACTAACTTATCTATTTACATATTTACCCTTCATACCATCCACCTTCATTTTCAATAATTCCCAAAATTGTTGAAACAATTGCTGCAACAATTAAGATTTGTAACATTGTATCACCTAAACACTCTACAATTAATTTCCATAAAGGTGTTAGCTCTTTTATAATTGGTAAATTAGCTCCATATCTATTTCTTAAAGTTATTACTTGTTCTTCATCTTCCACTCCTCTCTACACTGATAAAATAATTGATACTTTCAAATCAACTTAAAATATTTTTGCCAATCCTTATTCTCCACCTAATTATTACACAAGTCCTAAAGAAACCCCATCTCGGATATTGTCAAGTATAAATAAATTTTTAAAGTCTCCATCCTCTCCTTGTCGAACTAATTCAGAATCAGAGTTCTTCTCAATGAGATTAACTCTACTCATTTAATTATGTATTTTATTAGAATTAAATTACTTTCTATTAATATTTATTGATTCAAAACTTAAATATGGATCATCATATAAGAAATTTTTAAATTTAATATGTCCTTATTCACCTCATGATAATTTAAGATCTGATTGAAATGTTTAATAAATCATTAGTAATTAGTACTTCTTAAATTATGATATTTCCAAAAATTTTAATGTTAATTTAAACCTAAAATATAATGTTATAGAATTCAAATCTTAACATTTAATTAATGAATTAAAAATGTTGTTAATGGATTTTTATTAATTTGCTGACTTAAAAACTAAGAGTGAAAAATTTCTTGATCAAATTTCATTTTGCATCAATTTCAAATATTAATTAAATCTTAACGTAATTTAATGATCAAAATTAAGAACTATCAAAATAAACATTAATAAATATAAAGAAATTTTTTTATAGATTAATTCATAGTTATAAATTGAACTTAGTTGAAAATTGAAATATAAATTTATCCAATTAGATTGCAATATTAATTTCAAATAATTAATTTTAGATTTTCTTATTTACATTTATATCCTATCAAAAGTATTTTTTATTTGATTTAAACAAAATCTATGACTTAATTAATCATTAAAATTAGAATAACTATTTTTAACTTATAAAGTAATACTATATCTAAAATAGAATTAACTATTTTAAAAAGATATAAATTAAAATTTATTTCTTTTTAACCTTCAATATATCATTACAATGTAGTTTAATTAATCTTAGTATTAAATTGTTTTATACATTTTTTCTTAGAAATAATACAAGAACATATAGATTGAATTAAAATTACTAAATTATTTGAGTATTAAGGGTAGCCTTAATAATGAACTTAAAATATTTTTGTATTCTAAAATAGTAAAATGAAAGGGTAATTAATTCAATTCTTAAAGAGTGCTAAATGGGAACTGATGAATCAAATAAAAAAATTCCATAATTAAAAAATAATTAAATTGAATTACAATAATAAAATTAATTATGAATATCAAAATTATAAAATAGCAACCCAATCCGAAAAAGATGAATTTTAATATGAGAAGAATTGACTATCGTTTGTTTCTTTAAAAATAGCCATTTTGAAAGAAGACCAGAATTCTTAAAAATAAAATAGTATGATTTAATTTTAGAGATAATAACGATTTAAATATATAGAGATTTTGAATAATACAATTCTTTTTCTCTATAAAATTTTCATAAATTTATAAGTAAATTTTCATGCTAAGATCTAATTATTGAAAACAATTTCATTTTAATTGGAATTTTTATCTTCTGGTTCTTAAATCATCTATTATTCACTACTATTTAATTCGATTCTAAAAATAAATCCTACAACAAGTACATTGTATTTTTATTGTGCATATGAAAAATTACTTGAGTTTATATAATAGTTTTTGGTATTACTTCAGGATTTGGGCACGGATTATTAAATTATGGATTTATTTTTTTGATATTAGGATTTACAATAAATTCATAAGTCGTTATTCCTTTGATTATTAGATATATATGGAAAATAAATAATTAGAGGAGCAGTATAGAAAAAATAATAGAATCTATCAGCATTATTAATGAGAGTGTGTATTTGATATCTAAATCGTTTTCTTTATAAAAATGCTTAAACTAAAATGAAATTTGTTACAAACTTTTGAATTTCATTATCTATTTATAACTTTTCATTCTATGTATTATATAATATTATAATTCTGATATAAACAATCAGTGTGTATATAAATTGGAACATTGTTGAAGTTACCATAATCATAAAAATGTTATAATTAATTTTCCCTATGCAATTATTAACCCATTTACAATGATGATCAAAATCTTAACAACATCTAACATAATAAATATATACAACCTATTACAATGTTTACAATGCTTTGTATTTTCTTTCACATAGGCTTCACAAATATCACAATAAGATTCCAATTTATATTTTTCTAAACTTAATTGTTTACTACATAAAATACATTTTATTTTACCCTTAATTACGATATTCAAATTATAATAACAAAAATTAATCAGTTGGACAGCTAAGAGTAGTTTTACTACTAGAATACAATGATAATAAAGTTAAAATTCCTAATATTATAAAATGTATAGCCTAAATACAAGGAACAAACTTACTGATTCATCAAGTAAAGATATTGATAGAAAACAGTTTAAGATATTTGGAAAGTAAAGCAAGTAAGTTAGTAATTGATATACTGTTGGAAGTTAAGAGCAACCATGTCGAATTCCATTATATTATTTCATTATAAAATAAATATATAATTATATTAGATAAACAAAATATATCATAAAATAAGTAATTTTTAAATGTATTAATAATAATAATCACAGAACATTATCATAAAGGACAAGATAATTTTTAAGTGAAACATAGATAAAATTGAAATAATCATTTTTAATACATTATATTTAATAATCTAAATTTAAAGATTGTCTACTTACTAAATATTAAAAACTTTAAATTTCTAATGTATTAATGTAATAATGATTATTTATAATAAAAAGAATGATGTATTTTATTTTAATGCGTAATTTATTAATAATTCTAAATACTCCATATAGAAATTTTAGTAATATAAAATTAATACTATGAAAAGTGATGATAGTTCGTTCTATAGCGTTGTCTATCAGGATGTCTATGATCCATACCCTTTATCTACAGATTTACCATCATCTGGAAATGAAGTCCCCTTTAAATAATTAAGGTTATCTTTTGATTAATTAATTAGTGGAGACGAAGCAATAGAGAAAAGTTATATGGAATCTAACTGTTAATCATCCATATGGGCAAAAAGAGGATCGAAAGCATCATTTTTATTGACAAGCATAACGATTATGAAGAGCATGGTTGGAGTTGGAATTTTAGGAATTGTACTTTAATTTGTTATTTATAGCCTAATGTAATGAAAAATTTTGGAGTAATATTAACAATAGTTATAATGATTACTGTTTATTCCTTAGGTATGACAACATCAAGAGTTCTACTTAAATGTAAGAATTTAAGCAAGAAAAGTAATTATTCAACAATTGGATATTTTATATTTCGTCATAGTTGGATTATTTACACAGTTAATATAGTTATTACATTATCCAATATAACAACATGTCTTAGTGAATTAATGTATACCAAAATATAAATATATTAGTATTTTTGGAGATGCCTCTTAATTGTTAATTAAATTTTATAAGGGGTAGGATTATGAGGTTCCATTTTATTTATCAAGAACATTTTTACTATGTATTCTTGGATTAGTTCTTATACCTCTTTTGATTGTAAAATCTATAGAAAAATTAAGATTTGTTAGTTTGACAGCCATTCTCTCAATTAGTACTTTTACTGGATTAGCATTTTACAATTTCTTTACTAAAGAGGAAATACCTGAGGGTAATATGAATTGTTAATATAGGTTTTTCTTTATTGATTCCATCAACATTTAATTTCAAGAATGCAATGTCTGCACTTCCAACATTGCTTTTAGCATACAATTGGCAATTTAATTTATTTCCTATCTTTAAAGGAATGGAGGGACCTACAGATATAAAGATGACTTATGCAATGTTTACTGGATATTCAATGGCATCCTTTTTATATTTATGTGTTGGTATATTAGGTTATGCTACATATGGAAATGATGTATATATAATTGATTAATTCATTAGATTTAAACTAATTATTTAAAGAGTATTAAATCTGAAGAGGTTGGATCAATTTTGTATGTAATTTTGAATGTGACATTTGTTATTTCGACTACATTAACTTTGCCTGTATTATTTTTTGGTGGAAGGAATAATTTCATTTAAATTTATAAATAATTAACATCAGAGAAAAAAACAGTTTAAGAAATTAAAAGTTATAAATAATTTTTGGATGAGACTGATTCTAAAAGATAAGAAAAATTAATTGAAATTAAATTAAAAAAGAAATCATAAAAGTTAAGATTTTATTTATTAACTTTTATACTTTTCTTATTATTAATGTGTGGTGCATTATTTTTAGATAATCTTGCATTAGTATTTAATATAAAAGGTGCTGTGTTTTGTAATACAATTTAATTTGTATTGCCAACTTTATTTTATATAAAATTGGTTGAAAAAGTAAAGAAATATAGATTCAAAAGTAAATTAAAATAATATTTTTATTATGGTATAAAAATATTATTTTGCATGAGTTGGGTATTTTTAGTTACTTGTGTTGTATGTGGAACCATGGCAGCAGGACATTGATTTATTTAATTGTAATTTAAAATTATTTGTATTATATTAAGTAAACTTTATTATTATTGTTATCTTAAAGTGATAAGTATAATATTTTAATATTGAAAAATTGAATTATTTTAGTTTAATAATTAAAACATTACTGTTATTGATGAGTGATCACTCTTAATTATTTTATAATAAAGATGACAATACAGATGACTTATTGTTATCATAATTTTCATATGAATCATAATTCAGAAGCTAGGAATCATTACCTTAAAGAAAGAAAAGATAAAATTAATAAGCAAAATAAAATTAGGTGATTCAAGAAGAAAATTCGAATTCATATATAATTGAAGATTAATAACAATCCTATTTAAAATCTTAATAGGAATCTAAGGAGGTTCAGCTATTAAAATTGGCTTCTCATTTGAGATAACTCTTATAAAAATAACAATAAGAATTTTATGAAAAGGAACTTGGTTTTCAATAAAAATTATTAACTGTATAATAACAACATGATAGCATGATTTCATTAATGAAAACTAAATATCAAATTATTATAGAAGAACTTTAATAAAAACTATCAATGTAACAAACAGAAAATACAAATTTGAAATAATAAATATTCTAACTATAAGAGTAATAACAGAATTAAGTAACTTAAAGAATGAATAAGTAAAGTGGAACTGAAACAAATAAAGATACTAATTGTTTTTTTACACAAAGATAAACTCATTAGAATTCAAAATAAAATGATTACTATTAACCAGAACATGATGAAGATAAATTACTTTTATTATATAAATAAGAAATAGATAAAGTAAAATAATAGACAGCAGAATTTGAAAGAAAGTTTTAGAATGAAAAATAATCTATAAAACAAGAAATTAGTGCATTAAGAAATTAAAAACTTATGCTTTAGACATTAATTACAAATAAATAAGTAACAAATCAAAGTACAGATAAACCTTATTCTCAAGGTATGAATTCTGAACATAAAACTAATAAATCTAAAAGAGATAGTTAATCTAGAGCTTACAGTCATATTTCTAAAAAGTCTTTTGATTTTTGATTACCTACTATGTAATTTTATATTATAAAGTAATTATTTATACTTTTTTATAATAATGGATTAAAGTGTTAGTCATGGTTTCTCTTTAAGAAAGATTTGTAAATAAAGACTAAAAGGTGTATTTGTTTCTTTAATTTAAACAAATCCAAATGTTTAGAATTATTTTTTGATTGTTGATCAAAAGACAGTGAAAGTTGTCTCTGCATATATGAAATTGGCTGAGTATATTATTATATTTTGAATGTTTAGATTAATGGAATTAGGAGTGAGTGCTGTTGAAAAATTAGAATTAGGTAGAAAACCTTTTCCAAAATTACATGCAATTTATTTTATTTCACCAACTTAAGATTCAATTCAAAGAGTATTAGATGATTTTAAAGATAAAAAAAATCCACAATATGGAGTTGTTCATTTATTTTTATCTAATGAAATAGATTAAGGATTAATGCAAAAAATTGCTTAATGTATGGAATGTATATATAAATTATAGGTAATTCATTAATAACAAAAATTGCCTCATTCAAAATTGTTAATTTAGATTTTGCATGTACATCTGATTAAGTATTCACAATTGAAACACCAGAAATATTGACTAAGGCATATACTTCATAAAGTAAATAAATTATTTGATATATTTTTAGATATTTAATAATTGTTAAAAGAAGCATCCTTTAAATTAGCTACATTACTTATATCCTTTAATAAATTTTATTCTTTTGAATTTTTATATAACTAATCAGAAAATAAATTATCAGAACAAGTCGCAAAATTAACATCATAAAGATTATAAGAATTATTAAATTCTTTTGTTAAACAAAAAAACGAATAGTATGATAATATCGAAAAAGAAGCAGGGAAAATAACTATTATGATAATAGATAGATCATATGATGTGGCTACTCCATTGTTACATGATTTTTATTATCAATCTATGATTTATGATTTATTAGATATAACAAATGATATATATGAAAATGAAGTTGAATAAGGTGGTAAATAAATCAAATAAAAAGTTATATTTAATGAAAATGATGATTTATTTAATAGATATAAGTAAAAACATATTTAATTTATTAAAGATATCGTCACATTATATAAGTATTAGAAGGAATACCTGTTGAATTTAGAGAATTCATAAATAACAATACAACTGCTAAAGTTCATTAAGGATAAATGAATAATTTGGATTTGAATTAAATGTCAGAAATAGTAAAGACTTTACCTTAATATAATGAATTGTTAGGAAAATATACATTACATATGGTACAATATTTTAATTGAATTAAGAAACTTATAGAAAAGAGTTGGTCAATTTTTGAAAATAAGGGTCTAAAAGAAATAGGAGAAATTGAGTAAAGTTTAATCACTGGTATTGATGGAGCTGGCAAAAGTATTTCAACTACAAAAATTTAAAGTGCTGTTGCCACTAAATTGATGAGTGAAACTCTAGATGACTATGATAAATTAAGATTAATATTGTTAAGTATATAATTAAATTAATTTTAGCTTCTATTGGTTTGGAAATGTCAGAAAAAGATAGAAAAATATTAACTGATAAAATTAAAGTTGAACATCAATAAGCTATCTTAAATTTAATTTATTTAGGTATTAATCCTTAAAAAGGTGGCTAGAAAAAAGTATTATATTTTATAAAATTATTATTTAGTCTAAATCTTCTAATAGAATAAATGATGATTTAAAAAAATAAGCTAAGCATAAATTGGCTAGTGCATGTACAGAATTATCAAGAAATACTCCTTTAATTGAAACTTTAGTAGAAGGTTATGTTGAATCTAATTATAAAAAACCTTAGAAATTTGATTCTTTTATCATAAATGAAGATGGTGTAGGAGGAAAAGGTAATGGAAAATCAATTAGAAAAGGAGGATAATTAGCTAGAATGATGCAAAATGATGATAGTGATGAAACTATTAATTACACTCCTAAATTAGTATATATGTTTAATATAAAATAGATTATTTTTGTTGTTGGAGGCATTAGTTACTCTGAAATAAGAAGTATATTAAGTAATTAAAAAATAACCAATTCATAAATTACTGTAAATTTATTCATAATTATGTTAGTTGGTTGGTTCAACTAACATAGTTAAACCAAAGGACTATTGTTAAGGACTATTAGAAATGAAGACTGTTTGAATAATATATTTATAAAATATATATATGCATATTTATCTTATTCATTTGTATATTGGGGATCCTCTTGGTTTAACTTGCTAAAAAGTAGTTAATATAAATTATACATTATTATTATTATTAGGACTTTAATCTTTATCTTTTTCAAACCAATCATGAGCCCATTTAGAATGATATGGATAATTTCTTTAATCTTATAGTCTTGTTAAATATTTTACTTCTTTCATCTCCTTTTTGATCTCTGTCTTTATTATTTCTATCTTTATCATTGAATCTATTTCTATATTTATCTCTATTAAAACTATTGTTTTTCTCATTCCTATCATATCTATCATTTCTGTCATTTCTATCATTTTTATCATTCTTATCATTTCTTTCATTTTTATCATTCTTATCATTTTTATCATTTCTTTCATTCTTATCATTTCTCTCGCTTCTATCATTTCTTTCACTTTTATCATTTCTTTCACTCCTATCATTTCTTTAACTTCTATCATAATCACGTTCATCTCTTCTATCATATCTTCTATATGAAGAATTATTATATCTACGATAGTTACCTTGATTATAATTTCTTCTTTCAACCTTATTAAATCTAAGAACTAATAATCATACTTATTAATCATCCATTTTTTTTTCTAAATTAACATTCACATTATTATTTGTTTATCCTTAATCTTAAGGCTTGTTTATTTGAGGTGGTTTATTTTTTCTTTTAATTGTTTAATCAATTCTAAAATTAATAAGAGATTGAATGAGTACTTTTTCAAATAAGAATTAGCTTGACTAAAATCTTCATTTTTCCAACCACTTATTAAAATCAACAATAAACTTACAAAAGGTAGCTATTCATATGACCTCTTCCTTTTTTAATTATGTTTGGATCATCCTTTGGTTTTGATTTTGAATTAGACTTTGATTTTGATTTTGATTTTGATTTTGATCTTTAAGTTCTATATTATAACTATTATATACAACTTTTATGATGCTACAATATCTAAATTCACAAAGTTTGAATTACTTTATGCTATCTTTTCCTTCTTATCTTTTTTCTCTTTTTTCTACTTCTTTTTCCTATCTCCTAATATATAAACCCAGAAAAATACTTCTGGAACTACTTGATGAGCTTGAATTCTTTCTATGATCTCTTTTGGCTTTTTTCCTAATGAATTAAAATAATTTTTACTTGGAGGATCTATCTGATGAACTTGAGTCGGACCTTGTATTGGTACATATACACAATATACCTTTTCATAAATAAGCAATTAACAAATGAATAAAATATTAATTTATTTGTATTATTATATTTGAAAATCTTTCAATAGAAACTCAATACATTAATTTTTTAAAGAAAATTAATTAAAAAATATTGAATATACTAATATTTATCAAAATAGTTTATTAATATAAGTAAGACTCATGTGTGTAAAATCAGAATATTTAAATTTTATCATAATTTCTATTTAATAATATATATAGTATTATTGGCCAAACAACTATTTAAGTAATTGAAATAGAATATCAATTATTTAATATAGCTATGAGAAATACATGAAATATGATTTTTAATTGATCATTATATATTATAATTAGGATGAAGTTTAATTAGTTTTGGATTTAGTGGATTTTATTCAATTAGCTTAAAGAAATGCGTTTTAAACTAAGAATTTATAGTATTTAGCATTATATAATATTAATTTGGTTCAGTGTTAGTTAATTTAGAATTACAAGAATTATAGACAAATTAGTTTTAAATCTCATCCATGTTCTTTAATGTTAATATTTTGTATTCTAAAAAAAAAATAATTCAAAAAGATTTAAATCAGAAGGTTGAGTATTTCTTTTAATAATAATAATAATAATAATAATAAATAATAATAATAATAATAATAATAATAATAAATAATTTAATTTAATCATTTAATTGACATCAAATTTAGTTATTTGCTCAAGCTTTATTTCTCTTTTTATTTAATTATTAATTGATTTATCTGTTTCATTTTGAATGCCATTTTTATACTAATAAAAATAATTTAATTTTAGATTTAATTTACAGTTTATAATGAAAGAAGATCGAAAATTAAATAAAAACAATCAAGGATTATACTAATGGATTGTTCTTACAAGTTTTTGCTTGAATTCGTATATAAGAATATATATTTTAGAATATCAAATATATTTATGTTTACAGGATTATCACCAATTTGGTCTTAAGTGGCCATTTATTATGGTACTACTGACTATGATTTAAATTGGTTTCCAAACATGTATTACATTACATTAATGTCATTTTCCTTCCTTTTCAATCCTATAATAATTAAATTTTTTGGAATCTCGTAATTATTAAGTTGTTGCTTAACTTCATTAGGATTATGGCTATTATTTTATGTAAAATAAAATTTTTAGTTGGGACTTTTAAGTTTTGGATTAATAGGTTTAGGAGAAGCCTTTTATTTTTAAGTTCCATTACGTAATAACAATCATTTAATATAGATTTATCAAAGCTTTGGTTCACTCATGATCAAAGAATTATATCAACTTTTATTGCATAATATTCAAATAATGTAGGAATGTTATTAGGATATACAGTTTCATCATTATATTTTAATGAGATAGTACTTATATTATAATAAGAAAAGGTTGATGAAAATGAATTTAACAAACGATTTGAAAATTTGATATTTTTTAATGCAATATTAGCAACAATAGCTTTGGGATTTAATTTTACAACATTAAAATCACCTTTATTACAATATGATATTATGGAATTTAGATTAACTATTTGGGAATCATTATAAAAAATTGTAATGGCTGAAGAAGCTATTTTTGATTTTTTATCTATTTCTTCATGTAAATATGATAATATTTTTAGTTATAGGATTAAGTTGGTGCTATACAATGTTATTCGGTACACAATAATATTTTTTGGGTTAAACTTATATTTAAGTGACTTAAACTAATATCTACTTCTAAGTCGGTTAAATTGTAGCTGCTTCTTACTGTACATGGAAATTATAAAAGTAATCCAGAGCTGGAATTCAATAAAATTATGATAACTACATTAAAACTGTAATTAGTTTAGGATTTTGGATGCTAGTTTTCGAAATTATTTTATTTGAACATACTCCCTTTATTATATTAGTTTTCATTAATTTCTTTATTGGAGCAGGTTTAGGAGGATTATATTCTGTATTATTAGAATCTTTAATGGAAAAACATTTTCCTGTCTAAGAATTGGCAATTGGATCTATATTTGCAGCAGTTGCTTGTGTAATTAAAATAAATTATATAGACTGTGTCAATTACAATAACAATGACTTTAGTTATACCTAAGTTTCTTTAGTATGGATTTCAAATTTCTTGTTATTTAATGATTATACCATTTTGTTATATAGCTATCTTCTATAAAACTCAATTTAAACGTTTTGAAGCAGAAGCATGATTTAATCATTTTGTACTTCTTATTAAAATTATCATAAATGATTTTATATTATTTAATTATTATTAAATAAAAACAAAGTCGCTTTATTCAACAGTCTCAAAATGATAAAAATACTATAAATTAACATTTTTTATATTATAAATACTGATCATTTAATTTTATTAACATATAAATTTTTATTGAAGTCCATTTGCATTCTTTCAAAGTTGAGAGAATCTATTGAAAACATACTAAATTACTAAACTAAATACTTTTAATTTTAATCAAATAATATCACAGTAACCTTATTATTTATTATGATGAGATTATTTTATAAAATAATTTTGATTAAAAATATCAATAAATATTAAGACATAATTCCTTTTCTAATAATGTGTATATATAAAAAAATAAATGAATCAACAATAATATTAATATGGTTAATATATGATTTATTATAGAGAACTCATTTTTCTTATTATAAGTAAGTCATTCTTTGAGCAGCACGACATGCTTCGAGTTCAGCTTATGCGAAACATAATTATTCTTGAGCTTTATGATACTTTTCATTTAAATCTTAGAAATTTCTTCTCCAATCTAAGTTTTCATTATGATATGAGTCTTATAATTCTTAATTTTTGATCATAATAATTCTATTTAATCTTTCAATTTCTTTGTAAGCTTGTTCTAAAGCTTATTTTTAATTTCGATTTTCTTCATTTAATTATCTATTAAATTAAGTTATCAATTATAATTCATTATATATATTCTCAACTTGTTTACTTTATTATTATAATGAATTATCTTTGTCTCTAAAAATAAGAATAATAATACTCTAATATTTATGTAAGAACATTAATTTAGCTTACTAATTAATCTATATTTTTTTCTTATTCTCTAAGTTTACTAGTAGAACCAATATTATCTCTTTATGTTTATTAAGTCATCTATAATTATTCTTATAAATAATAAATATTTTTTTATTTTGTTATTAATTCATTTCGTAAATCTTCAACCAATTTCTATATTGCTATTAGTTCTTAAGCTAATTATTATTAATCATTCTATCTTAAAATCTATTCATTATCATTGCATCTATTTAATTAATAATTATGAAGTCTTTCAATTTCTATACTCATTGTAACAACTTTATCATTTGACTCTTTTAAAAGATTCTAATAATAAATGCTATTTTCTCTAAATTTAATTTCAAGTTCTTATATTCTCAATTTATAATCTTCATTTTATTACCTTAAAATGTTGATATCATTAGTAAATAGTTATTCATTTTGAACTATTAATCTATTATTATTATAGGTTACCTCTTTAATTGATTTCGCATTACAACTACATTTCTAATTAAGAAGATCTTTATCTTTCTTATTAGATTTCATAACGCAAATATTAAACTTCTGCTTTTTCTTAACAAGGTTATAGAACTTGATTTTCTAAAGAATCAGTTTTAAAAGTAAGATTTGGTGAGAATGGTCTGATTTAACTATTGAGTGCAGGTGTGTTTCCTTTTCTCATTGATCTACTCATTTTAACAGTTAAATATAAATTAATATTAAATAATGTATATAAGTTTCAATATTAGGGGACGGTAGAATTTATACAATATATTAATATGAGAATTGTTTATCATATATAAATTATATTCATTATTTAGATTTGTTTACATATCGAAAAAAAAAAACTGAATTGATTATAAGTAAATAATAAAAAAAAATAATATTAAAACAATAATGAGTAATGGATCTGTGAAAGACATTTTGAAAGATAAAAAGAAAGTTAGATTTGTTGCAGAGAGTGCTTTTAAATAAGTTGATAAAGATGGTAAATTAAAAGAATTTATTAAAAACAGGTAGTGGATATCTTGAAAGACCAGAGCTAGAAGAAGTTATGAATAATGTAGCAGCTGATTTGGGTGTTGAAGTACAATAAAATATTAATTTTCAGCCTCCTACAAGTGAAGAAATAGATGAAGTATTAAAAGAATTAGATGAGAATGGAGATGGAAAATTGTCAATTGATGAATTTTAGGTTTTAATAGAATAGGTTTTAGAGATGATGGCAAAGGTAGAAGGTTGATTTAAATTAAGATGCACATTTCTTATTAATTTTAATATTCATTATATGTTTCTCGAAAATACTCTAATGTCTTAGATAGGGAGTATTTTTATAAATATATATATTTCAATATAATGTTATCAAAGATTAAAAAATAATTTCTAAAAAATTATTATTTTATATTAAATTTTATTTCTATATGATACAATTAATTTTTGGTTTATAAATATAAATCTTTGACAGCTATTTTCATAAAATAATTAAGTAATTTGAAAGATGTCTTTCTATCCAGGCTATAGATATCCATATGCAGCACCTCTTACAAATTCAATTGCTGCTCCAATAACATATGCTCCACAAATGTCTTATGCTCCCCAAGTGAATTATGCTCCACAAATTTCATATGCTGCTCCTGTTTAATATGCTCCATAAATGTCATATGCTGCTCCCGTTTAGTATACAAGACCTATCACTCAATCTGTCGTTTAACCGGTTGTCACACAACCTGTGGCTGTTCAATAAGTTATACAATAACCTGTAATTGCATAACCAGTTGTTGCCCAACCTGTCTAAGCACCAATCAAAGGAGAATCAAGAGTTGAATACAGAGAATACTAAAGACAAGTTGTTGAAATGGAAACTGAGACTGTTTAAGTCCAAGTGCCAAAAACGAAATATGTAACAGACTACTACCCTATTGAATACTAAACTGAATATATTCCTAGAACTGTCTACGAATAATAAACAGAATATGTCCCCGTAACCAAAACAGTTCCAAGAGTTGAATATGAGGCTTATGAAAGAGAGGTTTAAAGAGTATAAAATTAGTTTTATAACGCTAGCCTCAACAAGTGGTGGTTTAACAACCTGTAGTATAATAAGTCGTTCAATAACCGGTTGTTCAATCTGTTATGTAATAACCAATTGTTTAACAGCCATTGTCATATTCATTAGTAAGACAAGCACCAACATATGCAGCTCCTATGGCATATTAAAGTGTAGCTCCAGTGGGTTCATATCCAGGCTTTTATGGAGGATATAGACCTTTTTGAGGTTATTAAAGATTCAGCATTATAAATAATCAAAAATTCATATTTATCCATCAACTTCCTAGATTCTGCATGTTTTTATTAAAAAACCTGGCTCTTAAATTCAATAAAATAATATAACAGACTAATCATCATATCAACAAAATTTACTTATAATTATTTTATAATTGATTCAGATGATTAATTTATATGTTTTTCAGATATAATTGTCATCCATTTATTAATGTCTGAAAATTATTTAATGTTTTTATGAATTAGGCTAAATTAATCTAGGTAAATACTAAATATACAATCTTACATGATGTTGATTTTGATTTTGTATAGACTTAAGACAATAAAATAACAATTAAAACATTTAAAATACTAAAAATAGCAGAAAATGTCATCATAAAATAATTGCATTTTCACACTCCTAATTATATAAAAATGTTAAGTTGATGTTATCATGCAAGACATCAAGTCATTTCTTGTATAAATTATTTAAAAAATATAAGTTGACCAAGTATAATAAACTTGATTCCACAAAATGGTCAAAGTTGGATAGATATTCAAATAAAATTATCTAAAATATTTGATTTTCTTGTTAGACTCTACCTACTCTAACAAAAAGTAGTACAATTTGATATTTTTAAAGGAATGATTGCAAATTATTTATTAACTAAAACATTATGTAGTCATATTTTTAAATATCAAAGTATTCACTCTACTTATCTATTTCTAAAATGCTCATTAATGAGATATTATTTATTTTCCCTCTTCAATTCTTTTTAGTAAAAGAATATTTTCAATTCAATTACATTAAAAAAGAATCTATATATTTAAGAAATATTTTTTAAAATACATTTTGAGGCAAAACTTATTAAATAGCATTAAATTATTTGTAATTATTATGATTTAACTAAATAAAACACATAATAAAAAGGATGAGTTTAAATGTGATATTATAATTAATAGCTTGTTTTTTATCAGAGCCCTGAAGATAATCAATTAATATAAAAATTGATTACTTGATATTTTGAAAATAATTTATATACTCTAGATTTTAATATATAAATTTTATTGTCGCCTTTTTATGTTATGTTTTTTTCTATCAAGTCATAAATTTATTTTTAAATCAGCTTTTATCTAATAAAATTTATGGCATAACATTTTTATATAATTATAGTTATTTTTCAAACTAAGATTATAGTAATATCCTTTGAAAAAATAATGTAATTATTAATTTAGGATATTTTCATGCCTTCTTATTTGATTTATATGATTATGATTTATATATCTAAACCAATTGAAAGTAAGATATTCCCCTACTTAATTAATTAATAATCCAAAAAAAGGATTCCTATTGTTCTTTGATAGTTTATATTCATGCAATTTTAATAGAATTAAGAAATAATTAGTTGAATTATTATGAGAGCCACTCATAATTAAGTGTTCACATTTTTAATTCACAATTAAATAACTTCTTAAATTTCTTTTCTATTCATATATATCAATTAGACTTTGATGTCAACCAAATAATAATGGAAGTAATATCAGATCAAGAAAGAATTTTCATAGTTCTGCTTATAAAAAAGATATAATTTAGTATTTTAAAATTTTTTAATTAAATCTTTCAGTTTATAATGTCTTAAAAATTTACTTAAAAAGTATAAATTCAGAAAAAGTAGAAATAATGTAAAACCGAATACAATAAAAATTGAAATCGAAGTAAAACTTAAATTATAATTTTCATAGGGGATAATATATATTTATTTTTGAAATCATTATTGTTTGAATACAAATTCCCATTTCTTCAATTATTATTTATCTTATAGAGGCTTCTCTGCAAATTTGGCACTGTTTGTAGATTCCACTAAAGAAACATCATTAATAGAAATTCTAGACAAAATACTAATTGTTTCATCAGGTAAAGGTTATTGTTATTAGAAATGTAATGTTTAGCTTCGATTTATGATTTTTAAATTATCCTTCTTACCACTATTATTTATACTATTTGTTTTTTGATGAGATAAATTTAATTATTATTATTTGTTTACTATTGATTGCAAGTATTATTATTATTATTATTCGGATGAAATTAAATTAGAATTTAATTATGGTAAGTCTTTCAGAAAAGAATCATCTATATTAAATTGACCATTTAATTTTTAAAGTTGTTATTTAATCCAAAGTATACTTTTACCACTTTGTTGGGGGAATCGAATAGTATCAGGATTAAAAAAGTCAGAACCATTGTTTAATGATTAAAAAAAATGATTCAAAATAGAGATTAATGTACTTAGTGTATCTTGTAAAGAACATACTTCATCAATTAAACCTTTTCTTGTTGAAATCCATGTGTCAAAACCATTTTATTATGATATCTAGGTTTTTAATGGGATTGTATCATATTTATTAGCATAATTTATTCTATCTTTACTTCTTAACTATATTTTATTTAATTATATAAACCTAATCTTTCATTTTTAAAAATTCTAATTCTTTCTTTTTAAATTCACTTTGCATCAATTAAACTTTGTTTTGAATTTTAATAACTTTTTAATTTAATTCTTCCTGTCTATTAAGTTAATTAATACCTTTTCTGATAGAAGTTTATCGTTTACAACTTTATTGGATTTATTCAATAAAGTAATTTGGTTTTCAAGTTACCCAATTTGTTTTATTCTATTCAAATATATGAAATAGAATTCTACTTTTATTCTATATCTTCTTAAAATCGTTTAGCTTTAATCTTTAATGATTCATTGTCACTTCTGATTTTGAAAAATTCATCTTCATGATTATTAAGGCTTTTCATTGTGGCTGATTTAAATATGAAAACAGCATGTATTATTTCATAAACTTTTGATAAGTATAAGGGTATGTTATAATTATCTTCTGGAAAAATAGGCATTTCTAATATAAGAAATATTTAAAAAAAGTACATTGCTAATTTAATATTCCATTAAATTATTAAAGCATCTACATCCATTCTAAAACATAAATTTAGATTATACTTTTAGTTTCACATACAATGCAAGATTCTGATATTTTACAATCACATCTATAATCCTCTATTTCATCAACCATTTTTTCAAGGAAGCTTGACATTTGAACTTTGTCTGAAAAGATGATCTTAATTAAATTTCAAATTCTATACACTTTGCTCATATGTGTTTGAAAACATTAATAATTAAATTATGAATTATATGTTAATCAATAAATACTATTTCAAAAAAAATTTAATTATATATATAGATAAGAAATCTATAATGTATTTTAAATTTATAGAAAAATAGCTCCATCTATTTTTAAGTGAATTTTACCTCCTTATCATATTTAAAAAAAAAAATAAAACCGCAAATTAATCAATGTTATATTTTAAATGATGAATAACATAATTATAGAATATTCATCAAAATCAGTATTCATTATTTAAATAATAAATTGATTCAGATTGAATAAATGAAGAAAAATTTAAGTATGAAATCAAGATTAATCATCTTCCTCAAATCCCATTTCTTATTCAGTGATATCTGTTTTGCATATAGGACATGTACTTTATTATTTGAACCATTCTGAAATACAAGACTTATGAAATCTATGTATGCATGGAAGTAGAATTAATTCTTCACCATCATCATAATTAGTAAAACATATAGAGCATTATTTATATTCTTATGATAGACCTTCATATGGTATATATTTTATAACAGCTAAATTTTCTAATTACTAATGAACTTAAGGAATAAACAAAGAATTCCTAAAATAATAATAGAAATTACGTCATTGGCATAAAAATATTTCTTCGTCCCCTTGATTAATTTGAAAATAAATTAGTATTAAAAATTTAATCAAAATAGTTACTAAAATTGCTACTTTGATTTTAACCTTAAAATGGTCTACTAAATAGTTGTTGCTAAAATATTTATTATTATTATTATTATTATTATTATTATTATTATTATTATTATTATTATTATTAATTTCTTGATATTATTTCTATTCGTTCTGTAGTTTATCCTGTAATTTAATTTTTAGTAGTTGTTGTTTTTTTAATGTTTCCATCAGGTAATAATACTTCTTAAATTCTTGTAACAATAGAAGAATTTTAATTTTATGATAAATAAGGATTAGAATCATTAATATCATCATGATATTATTGTTAATAATGATGATTCTAATTAATAAGAATATCTTCTTGATATTAGTCTTAATATTGATTATTTTCATCTTAATCATCAGCTAAAGATAACTTTTCAATTAATATTTTAGTTTCACATAAAGGATAATGTTATTCTAGCAATTAAATTGGATATTCTTAATCACAATATTAACATTTCTTCTATGCTTAATTCAATAATGACTCAGTATATAAATTACTACTCTATTAATTCAACTGTTATATTTCTTAAGTGTTGTTTTATTAAGGATAGTTAGAACTTCCTTCATTATTTATAGATTATTAGTCTTATTTAAAGTTGCTTTCTTATTATTAAGGATATATATTTGATTCTACAAATTGAACATCTTATTTGGATAAGTTTTATTGAAAATTTGTTTCTTAATTTGGAACTCTAGATTTTTATAAATGAGATTGATTTTGTTTTACAACCGAATTGATTTCAGATATGTAATTAGAATGATTAGATTAATTACATTCTAACCTATGGGCATACATCTGAGGAATAGGTATTCTTTCTTTACAAAACTTACATTTCACACAATCTTGATTTTGTGATTACATAGTATTTATTACACAATAATTAATTACTATAAAATAGCTTGAATTTAGTTTTTACATCTTAAATGTTTTCATAATAGAATTAATTTGTAATGAAAATGCATTCTGTTTTATGGAATAGATTAAAAAAATAATATTGAAGATCTTTTATATTTTAATTGTTAAAGAGAGCATATTACTTAATTTATTTATAAATTATTCAGAATTCATCAATTAAATTAACAGAGATGGTTGAAAAATCTACAATGAGATGGTTATGCGCTGTTTGTACTTGCTGTTTTTGGCTCAATTATTATGGCTTTTTAAATAATTGTGTAAGAGGATGTTAAATTTGTATAGATGGTAAATTAATCTAATATTTGAAGTTTTTGATGCAACAGTATCAGCTGTTTGGAAAGGGATATTTTGTATATTCATGTGTTGTTGTTTTGGGTTTGAATGTATGACATGTGTTTTATGTATCTACTCATGCATTGAATTATTTAATGATCCATGTTAAAGATATTAAGCTGAAGATTCATGGATCAATGCTTTTTGGCAGTTGGTATATCTAAAGGATCTAGAAATAGAAGGAACAGTTAGAGAAAAACTTAAAGAGATATTTGCTAAATGATAAAATGAATAACATATATAATGGATTGCATGTTCATTCATATTTTTAAGTTAATTTAATTTTATATACTTCTAGATATTGTTAAAAGATATCGAATTTATTTAATCAAATAATTCAATCAATTCATAGTATGAATATCACTTCTAATTCTAATACATACTCCTAAAAGAACATTTTTCATAATATTTCTTATCTCTTCAAAATAATTCAATCCAAGATCATATTTCATTAGAACGATTTTAAACTAAATCTAATCTATTCCCTCTTAAAAGTCATAATTATCATATTGATAATATACACTATTTCATTACTATAACTCTAAGTTAGAATAAATTAGTAGAGTTAGTTAAAGAAATCTTATTTACTTTGAGTTTATAATTTAATATCTCATACCTCACATTTATAATGACATTAGTCAATCCTAAATTCGGCATGATAATCATGAATTTATTGTTATTTGAGAAGGATCTACATTTAAATATTTAATTGTATTTTATCCATATATTTATATATAATGAGTCAAATATGTCTAAGACTCATTTTTATTATTAAATAATCTATAAAGATAGAAGGATAATTAATTCTAATATGAAAGAGAATTAATAAGTGGGATCGATTAAAAATATTTTATTTGATGAATAAAATTATTTTGTTTGAATTAATTTTTATATAAATTTATTAGGTACTATAAAATGGATGTTATGCTTATTTAATATATTTAATTAATTAGCATCCTTTAAGTTCTATAAATTTAAATCATAAATAATTCCATTTTCAATTCGTCAAATTAATTTCAATCAAGCTGTATTAGTGATTAATAATATTTATTTATTCTTTAAATAGTGAATAATGAATACAAACAAAAATAAATCTGAATTATTCTAAGTTTATCATTAAGAATTGTTAAGAATATTTAAAAGTATATGATAAATTACCAACAGTTTTTTAATTATTGAGGTATAATTAAATTAATTTAATCAATATATAGAGCCCATTCATTTAATCCTTGATGTTGTTCATATAATATTATATTTAAAAGTATGTTAATACTTTTAAGAAAGGTAGTACATATAAAGATGATAAAGTAAATACTAATCAATCCTCTATATTTTTTTTATTATCAGAATAATTTCTTATTATTAAAATATTTTACTATATGATCAATCTATAAAAACATAGACTTTTTGTTGTTGTGGTAACATTTAAATGCAATAAATTCACAAGTTACAATAAATAATAAAAGCAATCCTAGGATAGTTTTAATTGTTACTTATAATTCAAAAAATATTCCATAGCATAAAAAAATTGAGACTTTATGATTGATCATTCTTGTTCTTTGTTTATCAAATTACATTCCTTATATCATAAATGAGAAGTAATGATATATAAGATTGTAATAAGAATGAAGATTAATAATGTTAGATTTGAAGATAATTTGATTAAAATGAAAAAAGAAAGTAATCCTGTCATTTAAAATGAAGCAATTGATTTTAATAATTTCATAAAAATTGCTTTCTAAATGATATCCTTATATAGTCTTATATATATTTTATTTATTGGCATATTATAAAATGGAAAATATTTTTATTAGATTTTTGGTCTAAGATACTTAATTACTTTGCTTTAACATGCTCATTTACTAATTCAAACAAAATTACATAAGTATTAAAATCAGCTAGCTGAACAATGGAATTATATTGATTGTTAAAATTCATTATAATAATATATCCCAAATCCACCAATCAAATGAGAGTTTCGATGTTTTTTGTGTGCCAATTTTTGAGTAACATTTTTTAATAATAAAAATGGCAAGAACTAAGTAAACTGCAAGAAAGAGCACTGCTGGTAACAAAAAACCAACTAAGCATTTGGCAACAAAAGCAGCCAGAAAAACTGCTCCAGCTGTAGGAGCTGCTGGTGGTTTAAAAAAGCCACACAAATTTAGACCTGGAACAGTTGCTTTAAGAGAAATTCGTAAATACCAAAAATCAACTGAATTGTTGATCAGAAAATTGCCATTCTAAAGATTAGTTAGAGAAATTGCTCATGAATTCTAAAAGGAACTTAGATTCTAAAGCTCTGCTGTCTTAGCTCTTTAAGAAGCTGCTGAAGCCTACCTTGTTGGATTATTTGAAGACACAAACTTATGTGCAATTCATGCTAGAAGAGTTACAATCATGTCAAGAGATATTCAATTAGCTAGAAGAATTAGAGGAGAAAGATTCTGATATTTTAATACAGAAAATTATTATATAAGATTTCATAAATCTTTAAATTTAAATTACCATAATATGAATATACAATTGATTCCTCAGCAATAATATAAGTTATTAGCTGATTTTCATTTGAATTCTTGATTCCCTCCTGTTTTTATTAAATACTTTAACTTAAAAAATAATAAATATTTGATTTACAACTATAAATGTGAGTAAATATATTACAGATTAAAAAATGTAAAAATTAAAGATGATATAATTTGTATAATAAATTAATAAGTAATATATCAGAATATGTATTTTGAATGTCCATGCTCGTATAAAAAGGAATTAGAATAAGAAGATCAAATAATATAACATATAGATCATTGTGAACAATTTAATAATGACAGTCCTTTATGTAATATGTACAAAAGGGGAAATGTTGATGAAGTCCCTATAGAACAATTAGTTACGTTTTTATGTGATCTAAAACTACAAGTAGAAAGAATAGAAAATGTTTTAAGAAGACGTATAATAATATACTTATTTCTTAGGTGGCTATTAAAAAAAGATAACATCATTTATATCAGAATTAAATTTTGATCATTATGCTAAATATACATCTACATCAAAAATTAAATCAAACAATGGTGGAGTGAAATAAAATGGAATTACAGTTAAAATTCTTTCAAATAACATTTCAAATGAGAAATAAAAAAGTTCAATTGAATAAGAAAATTAAAATTAAAATTAAAATAATAAGCTTCCTCCTACTCCTCCTCTTTCACCTAATCGATTTGAAGAGGAGAGAAACTAAGATATATTTACAGCTCATTAACCAACAATGCTAATTGAAGAATAACCAAAAACTAATACTTAATAATAATAATAAGATTAAAAGGTTGCTTGTGAAGGTTGTAGAAAAGCCTTTTATTTTAATTAAGATTTTGAAAAATTATGGTTTTTAGAACATTGTGGACATGTAATGTGTAAATTATGTATACATCGATTGGCATAAGAAAAATTTGTTGAAAATGATGGAAAAGTATTGTGTCAAGAAATTGGATGTATATCTAAGATAACATATTTTGAATTAAAATAAATACTTGGACTTGATAAATTTAATGAATTAGATAAAAAGTTAGCACTTAAAAATTAAAATATAGTTGAATGTATTAAATGTTAATCTTAATTCTCTTTTGAAAAAGGTAATCCAAATGAATAAGTAAAAGATTAATAAGGTAAAAATATAAGTGGTGAAGCATTAATTAATTATGCTAATAATAGATTTATTTGTAAATAATGTAAAACTGAATAATGCAAATAATGTAATGCAGTACCATTTCATATTGGAATGACTTGTTAATAATATAAGACTAATTAATAAGCAAATAAATGTATTCTTTGTGATTTCCCTTGTGAAGGAAAAGTATGTAATTAAGAAGATTGTTAAAAAAGAATATAAAAATTATGTTAAAAAACATTAGATTGTGGTCATAATTGTAATGGAGTAAAAGGTGAAGAATGTTTATGTTTACGTTGCTCAAAATAAGAACCAGATGATTATTGTAATATGTGTTTTACTGAAGCATTAAAGAGTGCTCCTTGTATTAAAACTGAATGTGGCCATATTTTTCATGAAGAATGTATTATGAAGAAATTAGATGCCAAATGGAATGGACCTAGAATTGTATTTTAATATTGTACATGTCCTTTATGTAAAAAATGGTTGGATGTTAAACATAAGGAAATTTAGACAAAATTAAATGCAGCATCATAATTACAATTATAAATTTAGGATTTATGTATAGAAAGATTAGATATTGAAGGAATGAAATAAGCAAAAGAAATTACAGATCCTAAAAGTTAATATTTTTAAAAACCTAAAGAATTTGCAATGGATAAATTTTGTTTTTATTAATGTTTTAAATGTGAAAAACCTTATTTTGGAGGAATCAAAAATTGTTAAGCTGCTGCAGAGAATAATGATAGAACCTAATTTAATAAGGAAGATTTAATATGTTCTAGTTGCTGCCCTATCTCTTTTGAAGCTAAATGTAATAAACATGGAGTTAAATATATTGAATTTAAATGTCGATTCTGTTGTTCTGTTGCTGTATGGTTTTGTGGGTAAATATAAATTTATATTTCATTATTAGTGGAACTACTCATTATTGTGAACCATGTCATAGTGGTAGAAATCCAAACATGAATAAACCTTGTCCAGGACCAGAAAAATGTCCATTGGGTGTTAATCATAAACCAACTGGTTAGGAAAATGCATTAGGATGTGCACTTTGTAGGTCTAAAAGAGTTGATGATATACTTAAAAAAAACTGATGTTTATATATATAATAATAATTCTATAATTTTATTAAATATTCTATATAATATTATATTTCATATCTTTTTGTAATTAAAACATTCTAAAGTAATTAGATTTAATAATAGATATATTATTTAATAAGTATAAGGCTTAGATACATTATAGGTATAATATTTTAAAAAGGTTTGTAAAATTTATTGTTTTATTATAAATACTTTTTCTTGAATTATCAAATTACTCATATATTGAAAATAAAAATAGAATATACAAATGCATTCACAATAATGTATGATTAATTCTAAAGTTTTATTAATTAAATATGCGTTCTAATTAAGCAAAAGGTATAGAAAATGGGTCTGCAACTAAGCCATCACAATATTTTGAGGGTAATAGAAAAGGAGAAGTAAATGAGTTAAAAATGTATCAATTTATTCATTGTATATAGATTGGTTAAGAATACTATTAATGAAAAGGATGATAAAAAGAAAAGAGAAGTAGTCAAGAAAGTGATTGCTTATATGACATTAGGTAGTATTAGATACTAAATTAGGAATCGATGTTTCTAAATTATTTCCAGAAATGTGTATGGCATCTTATACTAATGATTTGGTATAAAAAAAGATGATTTATTTATATCTGACAACTTATGCAGAATAAAACAAAGATATGGCATTTATGGCCATAAGTACATTTTAAAAGGATTGCAAACATAATGATCCTAAAATTCGTGGATTTGCATTAAGAAATTTATGCTCTCTTAGATTTAGTGGTGCAATAGAATTTCTAATGCCAGCTATAAAAGAGGCATTATCAGATATTGATGCATATGTTAGAAAAACAGCAATTATGGGATGTGTAAAAGTATTTTACATGCAACCAGAGTAATTAAATAATATAGAAGACTAATTATATAAAATGATAAGTGATAATGATCCTCTAGTTATTATAAATGCTATTCATGCATTAAATGAAATATTAGCATAAGAAGGTGGTATGGCATTATCAAAAAAGATGGTTGATTATTTATTAGGAAGATTGAAAGAATTTAATGAATGGGGATAGGCAACTATTTTAGATGAGCTTTCTAAATACTCTCCTAAAGATGATAAGGAAATGTTTAATATTATGAATACATTAGAAGAGAGATTGAAACATTCATGTTCTGCAATTGTTTTAGGAGTTATTAAGGTATTTATGAATTTTACAAAAAATAAACCTTAAATATATGAATAAGTTATTACAAGAGTCAAATTACCATTAGTCACTTTAGCCTCGATTAGTGAAGGTAATTTTGAAATAATGTATACTATTTTATGCCATATCAAATATATTGCATCTAAAGGATATAATTCTGTATTTGCATCTGATTATAAATCCTTTTATTGTAGAGTAGATGAACCAACTTATATAAAATTACTTAAGCTTGAAATTCTATCATTAATTGCATGTGATTTTAATTTAGGAGATATGCTTAATGAATTAGGAGAATATGTTACAGATGTTGATTAAGAAATCTCTAAAAAATCAATCTAAGCTTTAGGAGCTATTGCAATAAGACTACCTGACTTAGCAACTGCAATTGTTAAATAATTATCTTCCTTTGTTACTCTTTAAGATTATATTACAAATGAAGTTATACTAGCCTTTAAAGACATTTTAAGAAAAGATCCTAAACATATCAAAGACTGTTTAGAAATTATTCAATCAGATAATATTACAGATTCAAATTCAAAAATAGCATTGATCTATATTCTGGGTCAATTTGGAAGTTAAATTCCTTTAGCTCCTTATATTCTAGAAACATATATAGGTGCTTAAGAATCTGTGGAATTAAAGCATATTCTTCTTACATCTTGTTTGAAAGTGTTTTTTGTTAGAGCACCAGAAATGCATTAAGTTTTAGGTAAGTTATTCTATGTAATTATTAATAATGAGAATGAAGATATTGATTTAAGAGATAGAGCTGCATATTATTATAGAGCAATACAGGCAAATATTAATGAAGTAAAGTAGTTTTGGTAATATCATATTAAAGTTGATAAATTTCTTGAAGAAACAATAATAAATAAAGAAGCTCTATTATTTGAATTTAATTCTTTGTCTGTCATTTACTAAAAAAATGTTAACAAATTCATCAAACCAATTGAATATTTTAATAATCTTAGAAGCAAAGAGTTACAAGATCTTAATTAAGAATAATAATAAACACAAGCAAGTACAACTTAAGAGTAGACTTCTGATGTTATAGAAAATCCATAAACATAATCTTATGGTTAAACTAATGATCTTCTTGAAATTTCTGATTAACCATAATAATGTATATCTCTTAATGTAGATAATTTCATAGAGAACTTTTCAATCGATGCTGATCATTTTGAAAATATGTGGACTAACTTAAATGATGGGTAATTAATATATCTTATAAATAAGTGCTACTTTTACAAGAATGCTAGTACGTAATGATATTGCTAATGAAACTTCAATGGAATAATTATTTAAGTAATATAGGCTGTATAATATTGCAGCAGGAGAAGAAGAGAATGTTTTGAAAATGTATTTTTATGGATCACATTAATGCTAAGTCTTTTTTGAATTTGAGATTAACAAGAATCTTAGTACAGTTATATTAAATACAAGATCAGAAATAGAGGATCAGGCTTATTTAGTCTCAAAATATGTTGAAGATTTTCTTAAATAAGTTCATTTAATTGAATGATATTAATACATTAAATATATATATTAGTTTCAATCAATCATTTGTCT